AAAAAAAAAGGGGGGGGAGGGGAATGACCTAATAAGTGGGTAACAAATCCTTCTATAAATCTGCAGGTTTCCAGTTTTCTGCTTTCAACAAAATCAAAGGAGGTGGGTGGCAAGCTAGCTTATTCACAAAGATAGCATCAGGTTCTGACATAACTTAAAAGACAAAAAGTGAGTGATCTTAATATGACAAAAGTTCTTCCATTCTCATCTACTTATATCAACAAAGTTTCTCAAAGTTTATATCTATACAGTAAAAAATCTTATTCTAGCATCGAGTAGTAATAGTAATCATCCACCAACACATAAAATAATGGGGTGGGGGAGTGCCATCCATCTCATCAAGTTGCCTTCCAACAAAACTCCCACCTTCTGTGTTTACTTATCAAAACGGATACCTACTTGTTCTGATTAATTTATGCTAATAACTGTAGTAACGTGATCCAAAAGAAGTTAACACTGAAAAGACTTATGAGAACAGGAAATAAAAATCATTCCAATGTGCATACATATTCTTGTTGCAGAAGGATGACAGGATGTTCAATAAAGATTTTCAAGCATAAAAATAAATTAACATTTTGTGGGGAAAGTGGAATTGAAAATGGTTTCAAGGAGAAAAATTGAAAAGCTAGCATTTCGGATTCAAGTACAAGCTTATTCATGTATTTTTCAAATGGATAATTCAAATTATTACAGCATTTAGAGGCCATCAGATACATTTAAAAGAATGAAACAATTAATATTTTAAAATGTCAACATTTACAATATATCAGAAATTACATCCTTTGCTACTTTTTACTCAAGATGAAAAATAAACTGATGTCAAAATCACATGAGGGGCCTCCTACACTCTTGGTGGGAATGTAAACAGGTGCAGTCACTATGGAGACAGTATGGAGGTTCCTTAAAAAACTAAACATAGAGCTACCATCTGATCCAGCAATCCCACTTCTGGGCATACATCTGGAGAAAACTATCATTTGAAAAGACACCTGCGCCCCAATGTTCTTAGCAGCACTATTTACAATAGCCAAGGCATGGAAACAACCTAAATGTCCACCAACAGATGACTGGATAAAGACGATGCAGTATATACATGCAATGGAATATTAGTCAGCCATGAAAAAGAGTGAAATAATGCCATTTGCAGCAACATGGATGGATCTAGAGATTATCATATTAAGTGAAGTAAGTCAGACAGAGAAAGACAAATATGATATCACCTATATGTAGAATCTAAAAAAAAATGCAAATAAACTTATTTACAAACCAGAAATAGACTCACAGACATAGAAAATAAACTATGGTTACCAAAGGGGAAGGGGGAGGTGGGTAAATTAGGAGTTTTGGATTAATATACACACTACTATATATAAAATAAATAACAAGGGCCTACTATATAGCACAGGGAACTATATTCAATATCTTATAAAAATCTATAATGGTAAAGAATCTGAAAAAGAATGTATGTGTGCGAATATATATATGTATGTATGTGTGTGTGTGTGCATGTGTGTATTTTAAAAAAAACACTAAACATGTGAAAGAATAAAGAATTCTCCAACATTCTCTAAAGAGAAATGGATGCAAACATGTTTAAAGACTACAGTCCAAAATCCCAGGTCAGCACTCTGAGCATCCCATTCCACTACACACATTCTCTGTACAGCCTGAGAGAGACTACCCACCTGCACAGGGCAGAAACAAAGCTCAGCCTCCACCATCTGGGAGAAGGCGATCCCAGAGACATCTGTACAACTCTGGACTTCCTACAGGACAGGCAAACAAACAAAGGATGTTTGCTGAGATAGGACAAAGCAGTTCCTCAGCCAAGGGGAGAGGAGGTTGGGAATTGCCAGACTATCATACCAGACAGCACACTTACAGACTGATTAAGGCAATAAAGACGCATAACTTCAGGTCCACATGCAAAAGTCTTACACTTCCACCATGTACACAGCACGCAAAATTCTTAACAGAAGCCCTACAATAACGTGCCCCAAGTCATACAAAAAGGCAAGTGGTAGAATCTTCTCTGTCACTACTCTTGCGAAATGAATGCTCTACCCAAAGGAAGTGTGGGACCACGTGGGATGGGAAGAGGAGGCACTGCTGAAAACCACCGCAGGGTACTCCAGGTTCCTTCGCGGGGAACTCGAGGTTCCGACGTAGGGCGTGCAAGGTCACTAAAGCAAGTGTGAGAGGAACAGAGGTACTCTTGACACTTTTTCTGCAGTTTCAAAGGGAGTCACCATGGGAAAATAATTGCTTTTTAAAAGAAATCTACACTATGAAAAAATCATTTTTAATAGCCAGGTGACAAGGCAAACTGACCTTTTTGATTATCACCGTCTTCTATCATCATACAAAATTCTCAAAGCATACACGATTCATTTTAGAACCATCGCCCCCATATCTAATCGAGTTACTGTTTAAGACAGGCCTGAAAAGTCCTACGTTTTATGATTCTTTTTATTTTTCAGGTTAAATAGTCTATTGATGGTACTTTTGTTGATGGTAAATACTTTGCTTCCTGAATGAACTCTCATGTTAGACTTAACCTCTTGCGTGTATGTGAACTGAATGCTGATGACTGTGTCTTGTCAAAATCTGACAACTTTTAGACCTTTTATTTTGTCTTCTAGAAAATTCTGTCTTTTCCTTTTTATTTTCATGTAAATTTTACAGTTACTTGTTCATTTGGAAATATTTCACTTTCAAAAGTAACGTTTTTGACTTGCTGTTTTTATGTAGGGTTGAAAGAAAAGCAATACGTGTATTAAAATCAAATTATCAAATTCAATGTTAAAAAAATATTTTGAAAATGTTTCCACTGTTAGGCAACTTAGTTGCCAAAAACTATGTGTGTGCCTATAAAACTCATAAACAGAAAACTTGGAAAAACCTGCAAATAATTCCAAGTGAGGATCCTGAGTGGGTTTTGAGTCCACTAGTTAAAAAGCATTAAGTGGAACACCTTGGTCTACAAAAATAGCTGAGGGACAGCAAAGAAGATAAAAATTTTCTTGCTGGTTTTTAACAACAGCCACTGCATAATTGGGGGATGGGACTACCATGATTTGGTACATAATACAAATGATGAGTTTCTTGTACTTGGATCATTTTAGGGAATAACTTTTTCAAATATGGTCATTAAATCAAGATTCATGAGACAATTTAGAGCCAAATCTTCAGCCTTATATTATCACTAAGAGTAAGATCACCAAGATCATCCAAGATGCACGAATCACGCATTTGAAATAAGCTTCCTAAAAATTAAAAAAATTTAGTCACAAATAAAAAATACTTCAGTAAAAGACTCAAAAGGTTTTATACCATTAAAGAAATCACAATGTTTAAGTGTTTATTTCATTTCCTCATCTTTTCAGAATTCTTTTTTAATTTTTGTTTTTTGTTTTTAACTATGTTTTTGCTTTTAATTATGTGATAATTTTTTGTTTTTAATTATGTATTGATTATACATATATAACTTACATATACAGATACATTATAACTATGACAAGATAATCACATGCTTTAATGATACATTGGCTTAACGATAAAAATAGTTTAATGAAAAGAAAGCATATATACATATACATGCACACACATGGAATATTCCCTCAAGCCTTTTCTATTGATTAAAAAAAGTGAGATACACATTAAAAGACCTCAGAGATCTTTAGCAGTTCTAACAGCACCATCTCAGATCCCACTAGCAAAAAAAAGGTCAGGTCTTCAGCCATGAAATTCCCAAATACAATCTGTCTCCATCACAGAACCTCATGAAAGCAAGACTCAACAAAGAGGCAGAAGACCTATGCCAGCGCTATAGGTACAGAGAGCAGGAGTTAGGTGACACCAGACAGCCCGCGCATCAGAAACCACACTTCAAAGGCTTTCCAACAAGAAATAAAGGAGGTGGTAGCTGACCAAAGGCACAGCAGGAGAGGAACCACAGGAGGCTGTCTGGGCTTCCTTCTAGCAGGCACTGCTAGGCGCTGGAGTAATCAACCAGAGGGGAATTTCAGCTGGAACGAAGAGCCTTGGGCAGAGGGGACATGTAAGGGGCCAAGCTAGGGCATGTGGCTGGAAAAGAGAGGAAAGGGGAGAGTGGCAGGGGGTCTGCAGGGCCAGGGCAGCAGCTTGGGGCAGTACAAAGCTGACAAGGTCAGCTCTGAGCAAAATGCAGAGGGACCAAAGCAGTCCCATGGCTCTGGGAGCCCCTGATGGGGCGAGGGTGTAGAATGAGCCATCTGGCCAGATGGGGATGGCTGCTGAGGTTCCAGGAACAGGACAGTGGGAGCCAAGGCGAGGCAGGTCCAGGGCACATTCCAGAGCGCTCCAAAGGCAGATGCTGACTCATGGTGAAGCCGATCTGAGGTGACAGCCCCCACCACTGAGAGGGCTGCCATTTCTTCTCCAGGTCTGTATTAATCACACAGTCTGACCCACCTCCCTCCAAATACCTCTGAGGACTGGTCGCTGCTGGGGAGACAGCTCAAAACAGGCAATAGATTTAGAAAAGGGAAAAATCTGGATTCCAATCCACGTTCTATCACTGCTGCATGACCTCAGGCAAGTTAATTCTGCTCACCTCATCTTCCACTGTTATCCATCAACGGGGAAGACACCTGCCTGACTTCAAAGGGAAGAGATAATCAAATGCTTTAATGATAAATTGGCTTGATGGTAAAAGTGGTTTAAACAGCTTGTCACTATAAAATACTGACAGAGACTTTCTCTCATATTTCCTTATATTCCCCTCAACTCTAAGCACATAATACAGTCTCTGCATAATGACATTCACTCAACAAAATGCCCATCTAGTACACAGGAAACAAACACTAGGCTCTAACTAGGCAATACCAGTGTATCCTACCACATTGGTTCAAGGGGCTTTATATTGTTTGGTCACTTCAACACCAAGAGTACAGTTACGTATGGTTTCAACCATGGCTTCAAATTCTAATCCAAATAGCCTTATAAATTACAAGAATAAGGGGACAATTATAAATTATGGTCTGCCTAACTCAGTTCAGCACATGTCAAATACCCACACCACATCCAACACTGTAATGGCCACGATGGCAGAAATAAGGACACGCTCTTACAGAACTTTTATCATAGTGGGCGAGGCAGTCAACCAATAACCCTGGCACCACGCAAAACGTAGTGAAAGGATGGATGTTAGAGACAAAAAAATAATTCTGATTAAGGAAATGGATAACAAAGTTCCCTCGGGGAAGGACTGACAGAACTGAAGGCCTAAAAGGATTAGAGAGAAGACCAGAAGCAAAAGCATAAGTGAAAGCAGTTCCACAGATGTTGTCTGTGTGCACTGGGGGGTCGGGGAAGGGGACAAGCGTGGAAAAATAAACAGTCTGGGACCGCATTTGGGGGCCGGGGGGATTTGCACTGTGCTGAAATATCTGACCTGTAGTCTGGGCAATGGAGAGGCGTTAAAGGTTTCCAAAGACAGTGACACAGTCAGAGCTGTTAGGAGAACCCATTCTGCAGGCAGGGGGAAGGAGCAGATTGAGAAGCTATTTCAATTGGCCAAAGAAGAAGTCACAAGGGCAGAAACAGCAAAAATAAAGAGGGAATGGCACCTAAAGCCACGGATATTTACGCAGGTAAAGAAGTTTAAACTAGTTGCTTTTCCCTGTTACTTCTGGCTCTCTCTAGACCTGGCCTTCAGGAGGAAATACGAGAACTTGATTTTTAACCTACAGATCAGAATTACTTTCTAAACCCACAATTTTAAGATGAGTTTTGAACAATGATTTGCCATGGCAGCCTAGCAAAGCTTACTCTAGAATTCTAATTCATCTTCATTTATAAAACAAGCTAAAAAAAAATGTGATATACAGACCAGCTATCACTATTTTTGCCTTCTAGCACCAAAACAATTTAGCCTAAGATAAAATGCTTATAACTCAGGGGAGCCACAACATGGAGACAAAGCAGAGTTCTCAAGAGCACCTCAACAGGGAGTTGACTTTTCTTATAAAGAAGGAATGGAGGAGGGGAGAAATCACTCAAGATCTATACTATGGGGCCACTGGGTTCAAAGCAATCTGCATTTCCATTTGCTTTTGGGTCAAGTACCTCTGACACCATTCTGTAGCCATTTCCAAGTAGCCCCCTTCCACGCTGAAGATGTAAACTTGGTTCTCTGCGTATACCTTAACATCAATTCTTAAACAAGGCAACAGCAAGGACAGAGCCGCACAGGGCTAGTTCCAGCTCCACCACTAACTGTATGATGTGAATTCGTTAGTTTTCTCATCTATAAGCCATCAGATTCAGTGCTGGGATCCAGGGCCTTTGAGGTCCCTTCTAGCTGTAAAACTGTCATTTCTGATGATGCTCTTAGGCCTTGTGCCTCCTCCCAAATTCCTTTAACAGGCCCAATGCAAATACCCAGGGGGTCAAAGTATCAACCTTGCTTCCAGACCCCCTGTACTGTGGGAACGTTCAAGCTTGAGGCTTTCAAAGAAAGTCCAGTTTGTTGATGCTGACCATCCTTTAAAAGAAAAAAAAAAAAACTTCACATTCCTCGGAAGAAAGGCACTAAAGACAAATATAGAATCAAGACATAATTGCAGCAAACCGACTACAGAACGGAATTTTAGAAGTCCATTCAGTGCTCCCTTGGGCTTTCTTAGGAACCAAACAATTATCAAATAATCTTAAACAATGACAAAGTATTTATAAGTGCCCCAGATGTACAACGTGCTTTAAAAAGTGCATGAAAAGACACTTTTTTGGTAGTAGCTTCCTCCTTGAGAAATAGGGACAGCGGAGTTAGCTTCTCCCTTAACCGCTCACTACTAGCTCCTACTTGACACGTTACCTAAATAACACTTAAATTTATAGTGATTATCGACTGAGAACAAGTGATAATTGAGGCGAACACGAGAATGAGGAGAAGGGAGTTATTTTACCTTTTAGGATCTCAGTTTCCATCTCTGTAGTGACTCAATTACTTAGATGATTACCAAGGTCATTTTGTTCCCAAATGCTATGCCCATCTGCCTCCTTCCCCCTAGGAGGGCTGGACCTCAGGTTAATATTTGGGCTCAGCTATATGCCACGCATCGTGCTAGGAGCTCCGGGAATACAGCCCTGAAAAACCACCAAAAAAAAAAAGGTCCCACGCAACACGAATATGCTATGGAAG